TGTTCTGTTCCTTCCAAGATATATATTGCCCAAAGTAAATGTTCAATATCTAGTATTTAGTCATTCGACGAAAACTTTTTATTTGAAAAGGTATGACGCTGTTGTGTATTCTTGACGAACAAGTGGTGATTAGCCTCTCTAAAGTGGTTTAAATCAGGAGCTGGCAACCAGCAGCCCATGAGGCAGTATTATGCCACCTTTTCTTCTCGTATGACTTCGTATCTGAAGGCAGAGATCGCAGTTTTAACTTAAAATGATCTACACGTTTGTGACATTGATTTGATTGGAACTTTGAAATATTGCGTACTGAAAACAAACAAATTGTAAGCCAGGTTCGTACATTACTTTTAATTTGTGGAACTTTTTCTGTTCATCAGCAGAGCCCCCCACACCTCTACGAAATGTGATGTATGGCCTGCCACTGTGTCGGCTCCATGCGATGTAGCCCTGAGACTCGAAAAGTCGTGGACCCGTGGTTTAAATGAAAGATAATAAGCATGGAGATAACAGAGACTTACTTTTGACATGTAAGAATGGCAATTTGCAGTCACAGAAAGTTTTATTCATTGAAGACACCCACCATTACAGCCATGCAATTGATATAAAAGCACCAGCTTATGATTTGTTAGTGAACTTTTTGAAGTAGGTGAGGTGGATGTGCTGTCCCACTTCTCCGTTTGTCCCAAACCTCCCAACTATCTCTCAATTAGAGGACAGACATAATCGGCCACTGTTGCAACAGCAGATTAGCAGAAAGTTCAACAGAGTCCAATGACAACGAAAATTGGGGGACCCTCCAGGTCCGCCTTTAAAAGTTGAACACGATATCGATACCTTGTTGCATACTTTACACACTCAGGGCATACTTTTCAATGGAATGTAACTTGAGAAGTTTCAATTGTGGATTACTAAAATGTAGTCAATAAAGTTGAAAGTGGCTTGTGTCAGTGAAGCTTGTGCATATGGCTACATTCTGTGTAATGGGTAGCATGCTTTAAACCACAAGCAATTATTCCCGTGAAATCTTTTCAAACGTGCTATGCACCCACTGTGATCTTAAGAGAACATGCACAGTAACATGGGTGCCTTCTGTAATAAGTGGCGAGCTTTAAACGACGAAGTCCCTGTAATAATCACATGTCCTGATGCCCGATGGAAATGGACGCTTGTACTACACATTATTACTGTAATATTACATGTTGTTTTGCAAAGCCTGTATACAGGATGCATGTGTAAAGCATGAACGTTATTTTCAAGCACTTTCATGCAGAGGAAGTTATTTTAACTGCATTTCCAAGCAGACCCACCATTCCTTCTAGCACACATATTATTAGAATGGCTGTTCGCATAAAAGACATTTATGATGAAATGGAATTTACACTGGACTGCTACCCCACCTTGGTGAAGTGCTTGGCCTCACCACGTTTTTTTGTATAATGTGATTTGAAGAACTCTCACTGCTCCACTGAACTTCGTTAATCGCAGAATGTTTTCTCAGTAACACTAGAGCGCTTTTTGTCGCTGTGTGATTGTACTCATGTTGCATAGTATTAGTGTCATTTTATGTTCGTTCTAACGCACATCTTAATAAATACCATAGAAATAAAGCAGACTAATGGCTGTGTAGCAGAAGACCGAACCCAGGCTACACAAACGGCCTGAGTTCGATCCTCACTCAAACCAGGAAATTTTTATTATTTATTTTATTTGCATCTTTCTCGATTTATCGATCACGCACAAAATAATGATTTTTCGCTCAGAAAGAAATGACGGCAATGCCAACACTGGCACCGAGGCTGGAATTTATACAAAACGAGCTCTTTAACGCTCTTGCGTTAAAAGGTTCAACTTGGCCTTCAGGTTCAAACGGTAAGCAAATTCTAAGTATCCACCGTAATTTTTTTCTCGCAGAGAACACAGAAAAAAGCTTCAGTTCAGCATAACAGTGAGTTGGCTTTGATGCAATACTTGCATTTAGTTTCATTTGCAGTATTGCAGAGCAAAATTACAGTGACTTATTTAAATCTTTGCATAGTTTTAGCATAGTTGTAGGCTTACCAGCTATTTTTTCACAGAACAGTGATGCTTTTAGCTAGGCATGAGTGAATATTAGAGTATTTAGGCCAAGCGAATAAATATTGCAGTATTTGAATTTGCTTTGAGACATATTTAAATATTTCGAAATGAGTGAACAGGCATAACTTTAAGGTAGGTCAACACCCTCGAGAAAAAAATTCTAGTTTTAGTTCAAAAATTTTAGTTTTAGTTCAAAAATTTTAATTATGCTTTTTGCTAGTGGGGCTTAGGAAAATGTTAAAATTGAGATGATGAAATTGCTAAAAATGTAAAAAAATGAAATTTATAAAAATCAAGAAGCGCCAAAATATGCATGCTGAGCCAACAGTGATAACTGAAAACTTTTGGTGCGACTCAAATGTGACATGGCAGCTCAGTAGTGAAGACAACATGCATCTGTGCATCTAAAATCCATGACTATCATACCTTCAAGCCTAGGTCTGTTATCACAGGAGTGAAAAAGCTGATATTTGGCAAGCTTGTTTTGCACGCAGTTGGCGATATCACAAAAAGTTACCGCTTCTTATCAATAATGCTGCTTGAATGCACAGCTCCTCATATAAATAAATAACGCACAAAACTTTATGTGAAAATATTAGTTAGAAGCAGAGCTATCGTTCGCGTAACACTAGGATGCGAAAAATCATGTTTTGAGAACAATGGCTTAAAAGATTTGAACCAAATGTCCATGTAAGAAAAAAAACATCCAACACGCCTGAACTTCACCAGGCTTATATCTTGGGGCCTCTTTTGAAGTAATACAAGATTTTCTTAAGTGAGGCAAAAGAAGTATTTTTTGCTTAGCTCATTTTCTGTCTATAGGCCACTCTTATCCCCATGTTTTACAGTGGGTCCACGCTTGGCATATTGAATTGGCAACTTGCGTTTCTGCTTGTTTTTTGACATATACTTTGCCATGTTTCATGAACTATAATAATCTTCTTAAAAAGCCAGAACTAAACCCAAGAACTCGAAATGGCATAGAAAACAACACTGACTGCTGAATGAAAATACACGCAAGTTGCCTTGTGCCAAGTAGTGGAAATTTAAAATAAATTGAGAATGTAATGTTCCGCAACTCAAAAATGTATTTAGATAACCTAGCACTACATAATATGCATGTGAAAAATATTTATGACGAGATGATAGGTGTTGTGGAAGCGGAAACATTCAGTTTCTGTTTCAGATGCATCCATCAAGGGTTAAAAAAATGGTGATAATTTTTGAGCAACTCAAGATAACTACATATCTTTCTCTCTAAGTATTCTTGAATGAACAGGGAACTCAAAAATGTCAAATCCCCTCCACCCATTTTTTTTTCAAAAACTGCGTTTTCGGAGGTGGTGACCTGCCATAACAGTATACAACTCCCGTCCCCTCCCCAAAAGGCGGTTTCACTATCGAGTGGGGCTGCTGGCTGTAAAACCACTTATTGGGGGAAATTTGGACTGAAATGAAACCACACTTCAAGGTTAAATGTACACCCGTTAGCAAAAGTATACCCACAGAGGAAGCGCATGTCTTGTCAGCACCGTCTATTCATAAACCGCCTGCTTACGAGAGCATTATTACCTTGACAGAAGAGGTCAGAGAAATGCTCTTGACACGAGATGGTTTCTAAGTTGCTTCCCCTTCCCTTGGAATCAAAAGTATGATATTCGCCTATGCCTAGTAAAAATTCATAAAAATATTGTGTAAGATGGTTGGGCAATGAGAAAAATGATGGCTTTTGTTTGTAATATGCTATATGTACTGTTCAAGCTATTCAATGGTGCTTGAAGTCCAAAAGCTGACTTCTTCTAACCCCAATGAAGGAATATGATAGGTATCTAAACTGAGGGTGTCTGCACCAGTTTCTAGCATTTTCTGACTGATCTCGCACTGATAAAAGCGCACATCTGTGCTCTTTTAGTTCAGGGTGATACACATGGGCACATGCAGTGAAGGGTCATTTTGTTTTTTGTATAGCAATCACATCACATGTGTGTGCATCAGCGTCAGATGGTCGACACGGTCAGTGTGCGTGACATCTTCATGGAACCGCAGTCGAAATGCTACGATGCTGTGAACCTTAGCCTACTATGACACAGCAGGCATCGCAATGTCACCCATGTTTTGTCGACAACAGAGACTTTCAATTGGCTAACTTATAAGACTTGAGCTATACAGCTCATGCCAACGTGGGCAGGAAAACTGATATTGTGCCTTTATAGTAATGAATGAACTCAACAATAAAACAAGCGGAGGTTTAGTATATGATGAACGACCAGGATTCCAAATACACACATAGTTGAAAATTTTTGGAAAATGTGTCACGACCCCTGGGAAATATTTCACGACACGGCTACAAATTCTGGTGATGAGTATACTTGCAAGCACTTAGGAAGCGCTAAAAAACAACACATAAAACAACAATTCAATCGATACACATTACTTTGCATTCTTTAAATACCCTCCACATGGCTGAAAGTTAGCATTTCGTGTTTCACGTGATAAAAATATGGCATAGTTACTGCGTTAGGTTCAGCACAGCGATTTAAGTACTGTAGCTGCTATGTAGTAAAGTGAACAATACTACTGTGACTTCTGATAACTCTTGCTGTCCACAAGTGTCCCGAAGACAAGAATACCCAGTAGTGGTAGTAGGAGTTAATTCGAAATATGCGCCACAATGAAATATTGAAGGCACAGTTTGGGGGAAGTGCAGAATGCATGATATTTGACTTACGTTTTCCCTTCTGAGAATTAAGATGTTTCAGTGATATTAATAAATTAATGTTTTTAAATGCATCCTATTAGCATTATAAGTTCATTTTGTTTTTTTTTTTGCCATTATTTTAAGAAAGCTGCAGAGAAACAGCCACTCAGAATTTGTGCACAGGTAATTAATAAAATCACTTAGCTGATGGCAATAAATCACTAACCTTGTGGCTGGTGGAGGGAGCTGAAATAGAGACCATGGGATCGCCCTCATGCTCAGTGAAGACTCCAGGCTCAAGCTGCTGGGTCACGTCGCCGCCAGACATTGATGATCCAGCCGCTGCACGGTGAACAAGCCTGGCCGAGGATATCAAATTGAACAACTGCAAGCTGATTATGTCTGCCAGATTCGCTGATGATGTCTGCACAGGAAGAGAATGAAAAAGTATTTAGTAGACTTCAAACAATGCACCTGCCATGATGGTAACTCAGCAGATCACGTTAAGCTTGAAACTGTTAAGCTCAAAGTACAGGTCTGATTCTGTCACGACAGCTGCATTTCAATAGGGTGAAACACAAGAACACTCATGTATTTAAATTTACGTGCAAATCACAGAATCTACTCAAAAGTGGGCGAGCTTTCCAACCATTTTATTAGTCAAAGGTCAGCCCCTCTACCACATCTACGTTGAGGATGATCATGTAGGGCTTTGAAATGCACACAACTTGTACTGTTGAGCTGCTTATTTTGGGCAGCGTCACTTTTGCTATCTTCCCGATCATTTTGTCGCCCTTTTAGAAAGTTCAGCAGCCAGGAACAGTGTCCTCGGCAAGAATGGTTCACACATTGCACATGCCTTCTGTTGCATATTGGGTGTTGAACACTATCGACATCTTGGCATAGAAAACACCAGACACCTTTGAAATGCCGCTGCTTTGGCAGCAAAACAAGAGTGCAGCATGTGCAACTGATTGTCCGTGAGAGCTCCCTCATCACCAATCTTGGTGACAGCAGCAGAAAACATAGTTTGTTTTTTTTCTCTCACTACTTGGAGCAATAGAAAGAGAAGTGGTGCCACATAACCTGTACTCCGTTTCATACATCAGGTGCGACGCTTTTGAAGCTAGCAAGAATTCTTTCCGTACACGTGCTCCCATCAAGAGGTATTTCAATGATTTTACTACCTGAAATGTGCTTCTTTTTGTTTATTTCCAGACTGAGTAATGTACATATATCTCAGAGTGCCGTTCCGTTCAGTTTTTACGTTAATTCTAGCTCCCGCTGTTTTCTGTAGCACACACAGGATTTTACAAAACATTGTTCATGCACAGCAATGGGGCTGATATGCAGCAGATTCTCAGTAGATGGAAACCTGTTAATCAGAATCGCTGCTTAAATGGAACAACTGCCTCTGATATGATTCGTTTAATAGCTGTATTCTGCACCTATTTTCATCTCTCAGTAAACGAAACTGCTGTTCAATTGAACATATTTTCCTGGTCCTGTTTAACGAGAGTCTACTGTATAACGTTTCAAACCGCGGCAAACAATCTCGTGGTGAGCTTCCATGGTTGGGGAAAGTATTCTTATCTCATTTGCATTTCAGTGCTGCTCATGACTTAATCTTGTGAAAGTAGCATGGCCCATTCGTTTGCACGTCCTATTTGTTCCTATGCTAACAAACGGGTTGACCCCCCTCTAGACACCAGCTTGAATCGTACAGTGCACTACCTATTGTTTGTGGGCACTGCGAATAGAGTCGATGTCCCCCGACACGTTAACCACAAGCTCCACAACTTCATACTGACTGCTTTCGTGCACAAGTCGGCAAGAGACACGAGCAGTATCTGAGGTGATGTAAGCCAATCGTCGATTAGGCTGAATTTAGGGAGTCTGTGGCTCCTGAGGATACACAGCTGCGTTACAAGGATGAAAGTTTGTTGTTATGGTCACGTGCGGCCCGTAGCACAGGCATGAAAGTTGTCAACACTGGCCTCGCCTAGAAATGCGTTCTTTCGAGAGGCCCGCGCACCTTTCACACAAGCTTTCAGAACAATATAAAAACACACGAGGTCGAACACAGCACCAAACCCATAGTCTAGGAACATTTGTAGAAACTTTGCATTAGCACCAGCATATATGGAAGCTGGTCATTCCTGCATGAATTGGCAGAGCTGCCCGAAAGTATGCCTGACGTGCTCGTAATTCAGGATTGTCGGAAAATAATCTCAGCAGCGCGCACCTGTGGGTTTTCTCGGCTGAGTCTCACTGCCAAAATTTTAATTTCTCGCACATATACAATTTCACCAGCGAAGTCGCCAGGACGACCATACTTTGGTTCTACGCGGCGAAATTGACCAGCCTGTTCGACAATAGTCTGCGCGACGAAGCTCTTGTTGCGACAGAGGTGCACGCACCTGAGGGTCCACTTGTCGGAACGCCCTGGCCTCACGTTCCATGCGACGAAGGCGTCGAGCCTCGTTTTCGGCTGCACGCACCCAAGGATCCACACGGCGGAGTTGACGGGCCTCATTCTCGGCTGCGCGCACTCGAGGGTCTTCGCGGCGGATTTCTCGGGCCTCGTTCTCAGCTGCGCGGACCCAAGGATCCGCACGGCGGAGTCGTCGAGCCTCGTTTTCGGCAGCACGCACAAGAGGATCTACGCGGCGAAGATGCCGCGCCTCGTTTTCGGCAGCACGCACCTCAGGGTCTTCGCGGCGACGTCTTTTGGCGTAGTTTTCCCGCAAGCGAACCCAACAGTCCTCCCGGCGTCGACGGCGAGCTGCGGTTTGTGCTGCTCTCTGCTCGTCGCTCTGCTGTGCCCGACGTTGCCTGGCCGCAGCCGCTCGCGCAGCTTTACGATCCGCTTCTTCCGCAGCGGTTCTTACCTTGCGAGGAGGCGCCATGACAACACTGAAGCGGAGTCAATTTAACCTGCTCTAGACGCTCGGGCCACGATCGTTATTGTGTTACGCTATGAATCCTATGAATATGAAAATACAGCGCTATCAACGACCAGCACACTTTTTGTCAGATTATGCACCTGACAACGCCGGTCGGCGCAAGCCGACTTCTCTGCAAAGCTCACTTCTGTGGAAAGCAGTGTTGCCGCATCTAAGAAAGCAAAAATAGTTTGATGACAAAAGTAGTATATATATATATATATATATATATATATATATATATATATATATATATATATATATATATATATATATATATATATATATATATATATATATATATATATATATATATATATATATATATATATATATATATATATATATATATATACACAGTATAAAAAGAGGTCGACAAACGTGCGTGGTTCACTCCGACGAAGGCAGGCCCACCTGCCGAAACGTTAGTAAAACTAGTGTTTTTTCGCACGTTTGTCGACCTCTTTTTATACTGCATTTTCCACCGGATCCATTGAATATCACCCCACCATATATATATATATATATATATATATATATATATATATATATATATATATATATATATATATATATATATATATATATATATATATATATATATATATATATATATATATATCTTCATCTCTCTCCCCTTAATTTCTCCCCTTCACCTTTCTGATATCATATGGTGGCTAGAGGGCCAAACGTGGACAAACTAATAAGCCACAATCCATGCACCCTCGCGCCGTACATAAAAGACACCACACATTTTCTTCGAGACATTGCAGGTCTGTGTGTGCCGAAAAACCGTTCTTGGTTACTCTTGATGTCTCTTCATTGTATACAAATAGTCCTCACGATGACGGCATAGCTGCATTACAAAACATGTACACAAACCATAGACAATCTAACACCCCAGATTTCTCTGCCATCGCAACTTTGACGAGGATGGTCCTCGAATTAAATTCATTCGAGTTTAACCAAGAGTATTTTCGACAAATCAGCGGGACCGCTATGGGCACCAAAATGGCACCTAATTATGCCAACATATTTATGGGAAAGCTATAATCTGAATTTCTTGCACAAAGTTCCTTGAAACAAATGTTATACAGAAGATACATAGACGACATCTTTCTTATTTGGACCCACGGCGAGGACAAACTTCTCAGCTTTATCGACACTTACAATGCTGTACATCCGAACATACACTTCACACACACATACTCGCAAGTAACCGTAAATTTTCTTGATGTTACCATAACGATAGAAGAAGAGAAGCTCTCTACAACCCTATATCGCAAACCAACGGATCGACAACAATACCTCCATTACCAAAGCGATCACCCACGCCACTGTAAAAACAGTATTCCATACAGCCAGGCTCACCGGTTTAAGCGAATCTGCTCTAGAGACGCTAACTTTGGCACGAGCTCACAGAGGCTAAAACTTATGCTCGAGAAACAAAAATACCCCCCACATGTAATTAATGACGCTGTTCAAAAAGCGAGAAAACTAAAGCGTGAAGACTTACTTATGAAGCGACCACGGCAAGAAGACCCACAACGAACAAACCTCTGCTTGACTTACAGCACAAACTTCCCCAATGTAAAAAAAAAATCCTTAAATGACATTACAACATTCTGGAATAAAGTGAACGTCTGAAACGCGCATTTCCATCCGCTCCAGGCGTCGTTTACCGACGACCACGTAACCTCAAAGACATACTTGTCCACTCTCAAATTAACACATCACCCCCCAATAATTCATGCCGATCTTGTTTAAAGCCACGATGTCTTGTATGTAAAATGATGCGAGAAACACACAAAGCAACCAGCACACAATCCAAGTTTTCGATTAACATACGAGGAAACCTAACATGCGATTCCTCTAATGTGGTATACTTACTCGAATGGAACGTGTGTGGTATGCAGTACATCGGACAAACAGAAACACCATTTAGGATTCGCTTCAATAATCACAGAGCCCATGCGAAATCAGCCCCAAGTCTACCTCTATCAAAACATCTTAATCTTCCCGACCATGCATTCGGCAAACTATCAGTAACGCTCTTAGAGACGGGATTTAAATCAAATCGAGAACGTGAACAACGAGAGTCATACCTTATCCACCGATTTAACACCCTCGATAGAGGAATAAATGAGAATCCTGGAACACTTGCAGCAATTAAAGCATTAGAAAAAAATAACGGCAATAATGAAAATAGTAACTGAGTTCACGGCACTGCAGCTGCGAAGGGCACTGGACAACTCAAAACAATTCCAAGTGTAACTACTCTTCCTAAGTGCAGCTGTCGTCTGTTTTCTGTTTTATTTTGCTACCCAATCAATTGTGCCATGCATGACATGCCCAACAGCAACCCTGTGCACAGCCGGGAGGCCCCCACTTCACGCGTAATCCAGAAGTGGGCAAGGAATTCGCATTGCGCCCGCTTACCAGCCTCTGCCGCAATACGCGGCATCCCTCTTTCTACGACGAAATGTTGACGGGACTCCGAGTAGTTAAAGGCTTAAAACTTCCTAAAATGCCCGCTTACCAGCCTCTGCCCCAATACGCGGTACCCCTATTTCTACGACGAAATGTAGACGGTGGTCCGAGTAGTTAAAGGCTTAGAACTTCCTAAAAAAGCTCTTTTTTGCCCCACACCGAACCGCCAGTGCCAGGAGGCGCCGTCTGGTCGGGAAGAATGCGTTAGTGAAAGGAAGCATACGCAGACCACTGACATCAGAAAGGTGATGGGGAGAAAGGGGAGAAAGATGAAGGGGGAAGTGGAAGGAAGAGTGGAAGGGGGCGTCCGAGGGGAGTCCACCTTATATTCTTTTTTTCTTTTTTTCTGTCTTTTTCCTCTTTCCTTTCCCTCTGATTTGCGATTGTATAAAGCTGAGCACCAACAAACTGTACCTTTAATCCTGACGAAGGCCAGACTCTAGGCCGAAACGTCACCATGCCTGCCTATATATATATATATATCACCATGCCTGCCTATATATATATATATATATATATATATATATATATATATATATATATATATATATATATATATATATATATATATATATATATATATATATATATATATATATATATATATATATATATATATATATATATATTAAAATAATTGACAATGCAATTGAGCGCGCTCGCTCTTTGGACCGAGAATCAACAATGGGAGAAAAAGGTGGGAATAAAGATAATATAACTTCAGGGGCAAATTTAATCCTCACATACTGCGCCGCCGCCCCTCGGGTGAATTCTATACTAAACCGCCACTTCAACATACTTAAACAGAGTAGTCGCCTCTCTGCCATTTTTCAGACTCCGCCCAAGGTGGTTTACCGAAGAAATAAAAACCTGAGAGACTTACTGGTCAGGGCGAAAACACACAAATCCGACCACCATCAGGGCTGTAGACCGTGCGGGAAACCTCGCTGCAGGGTGTGCACACACATGGTGACCACAGATACGGCCGAAGCCTCCTGTTCAGACTATGTGTACACAATTAAAGACGACCTTAACTGTGACTCAGCCAATGTGGTATACAAAATTCGCTGTGAGGTGTGCAAACAGGAATATATTGGACACACGGAAACCGCGTTCCGTTTGTGTTTCAACAATCACAGGGCACACGTAAAGGGCCTCCCCAATTTGCCGTTCTCCAAACATATCAATCTTCCTGGTCACTCTTTCGAACGCGTAAGTGTCATACTCCTACAATCCGGCTTCCAGAACACACGGGAGCGCGAACAGCGGGAGTCATACTTTATAAAGAAATTCAGATCACTTACCCACGGAATCAACGAGAGCCCTGGGCGACTGACTTGTCTCCGCGACGTTTCGTGAAACACAGAAATTGAATTACTCAATTAATTTATTTATACATACGTGAAGTCGCACACGCAAGTTGGTCAATATAGCGAAACTAAACGAATTCGATGCTACGTGAACCAAACGGATTGTGTTAGTATTATTAGACTTTATTTTCATTTCTGAGTACTTTTTTAGTATTATTTATTTTTATATATTTTCATCCTTCACGAGAATACCCATTTATTTATTTTCAGTATGACTGGTTGTACATTTTTCTGCAAGAGAGGGCAGGTGGAGGGAGGGGGAGAGGGCACATTAGCTTTCCAACGTGGCCATTATATTCCGAAAGCTGGAGCGGGTCGTATGCTTCTTGTGTGTGTGTGTGTGTGGCCCGATGCCGCGGGCCAGCCGCCGAAGCACGTGAACTTAAACTCGATCCATGTGTGGGATGCGAGTAAGCGGCAACATGTTCCACATTTTTCCGTTTTTCTTGGTCGCCTTCGCTGGCGGCGCGTCTTACCTATACGCAGTAACAATGCCAGAATTACCCGCTCGTTTCCGGCGGCTCTCCGTCGCTCCTTTCTAGTTCCTCTCCTTCTTCTGCTTCTTGTTGTCTGTTGCTACCTCGTTCGCCCGCTTGTCTTTTTCTCTCTCTCTCTCTCTCTTTTTTTTGGAGGGTCTTTAAACTGTGAGGGTGACCCTCTGCTACGGGAACTTGTATCATTTCACTTACATCCTCCGAAGAAGGCTGGTCCACCAGCCGAAACTGTTAGGATTAAATAAATATTTTATTGTTTTGTTTCCTATACTGCACTATTCTCGAAGTTTATAACTTTTATTACGGTAGCCGGAAGAAACTCTGATCATCTATTTCATCTATATATATATATATATATATATATATATATATATATATATATATATATATATATATATATATATATATATATATATATATATATATATATATATATAATATATATATATATATATATTGTCACAAGGTCCCGTTAATTAGGGAGGCGATCGCCGGGCTAATTCCAAGGGCCGAAGTATCGGCCCCCCGAACCACACCACGAAAGCGTGGACAATTTAGAAGTGGTCCTATTTGGTGCGCCAGCGGACGCCGGCTGCGGTCCAAAGAACAAGTCAGAGCCGAGAGTTGATAAACAAACAAAATTATATTCTCAATAATGGCAGATAAAAACAATACACAAGTATGCACACTCCACAATAGTTGAATACAATATGTCACCAATCAAACAACGTACTATACAGTACAATCAGCCACACTCGAAACAACGGACACAGACAACAATACGCACTACAATGCAGTCGC